ATAACTTGTTATCTTAAGGTCCTTTCCAATCCTAACTGTTCTGTGATTCTATGACATGGGGACACCAAGCAAACCCCAACACAAGGACATGGGGACACCTAGTACCCCAACACAAGGACATGGGGACACCAAGTACCCCAACACAAGGAGATGGGAACATCAAGCACCGCAACACAAGGACATGGGGACACCAAGCAAACCCCAACACAAGGAGATGGGAACATCAAGTACCCCAACACAAGGACATGGGGACACCAAGCAAACCCCAACACAAGGAGATGGGAACATCAAGCACCGCAACACAATGACATGGGGACACCAAGCAAACCCCAACACAAGGACATGGGGACACCTAGTACCCCAACACAAGGACATGGGGACACCAAGCAACTCACCGACCCCTGGCGCAGCGCGTCCTGCACTTGGGGGAGGTCCCTCACGGGGCACCAGACCTCAGCAATGAGGCACTTCTCAGTGACATCGAAGCTGCACTGGTTGAGCACCAGGTAGATGGCCTTCATCTTCTGGACCTGGACCTGCCAGGTCGGCAGCGCCAGCACCACCTTGTCCAGCACCTGCGCCAGGTACTGCTCCGTCTCCTCCAGCACCTACGGGTGCCCAGTGGGGGTCAGGGATGGGGTTCTCACCGCGGTACCCCCGGTACCCACCACGGTGCCCAGCTCACCACACTGAGGTCCTGGATCTGGCTCTGCAGCCCGCTCATGGTGTCCATGCGGATGGATTCACTCTCCGGGTAGGGATACACGTGGCAGTGGAAGCTGGGATAGATGGACACCAATGTATGGGGGGGGACCAGCACGTCCCCATGGGGGGGTCCATGGTGCTCAATAAACCCGTGTGGGACCCATGCTGCCTCACCAGTCCGAGATCTTGCGGATCTTCTGCCCGATCTGCTCGCCCCAGTAGGAGATGAGGAAGATGACCCAGGTGATGCTCTCGCCCTGGGGACAGCACATCCCTGTCACCATGGCTGCCCCCTGGCCCTGCCACCCCCCCAAGCACTGGGGGTGTCCCCATCCTGTCCTGTGTCCCCCCCCCATCTCACTGTGGCCGGGTCCTCCATGGGCTCGGGCATCTCCACGAAGGTGGCCACCAGGTACCCCCGGCACGCGCGCCACAGCAGCCGCTCGAAGGCGCTCACCCGCCACGGGTGGATGACACCGGTCACGAAGCTGCGGGGACACCAAGAGGGATGGGGTGGGCATGGCTCTGCTGCGGCTCCTGCCCCATGGCCCTGCTCCAAGCCTTACCCTACACCATACCCATCACCCCATGGCCCATCTCCAACCCTTACCCTACAACATACCCATTGCCCCATGGCCCATCTCCAACCCTTACCCTACACCATACCCATTGCCCCATGGCCCATCTCCAACCCTTACCCTACACCATACCCATCACCCCATGGCCCATCTCCAACCCTTACCCTACACCATACCCATTGCCCCATGGCCCATCTCCAACCCTTACCCTACACCATACCCACTGCCCCATGGCCCATCTCCAACCCTTACCCTACACCATACCCACTGCCCCATGGCCCATCTCCAACCCTTACCCTACACCATACCCACTGCCCCATGGCCCATCTCCAACCCTTACCCTACACCATACCCACTGCCCCATGGCCCATCTCCACTTACCCTACACCATACCCATTGCCCCATGGCCCATCTCCAACCCTTACCCTACACCATACCCATTGCCCCATGGCCCATCTCCAACCCTTACCCTACACCATACCCACTGCCCCATGGCCCATCTCCAACCCTTACCCTACACCATACCCACTGCCCCATGGCCCATCTCCAACCCTTACCCTACCCCATACCCACTGCCCCATGGCCCATCTCCAACCCTTACCCTACCCCATACCCACTGCCCCATGGCCCATCTCCAACCCTTACCCTACCCCATACCCACTGCCCCATGGCCCATCTCCAACCCTTACCCTACACCATACCCACTGCCCCATGGCCCATCTCCAACCCTTACCCTACACCATACCCACTGCCCCATGGCCCATCTCCAACCCTTACCCTACCCCATACCCACTGCCCCATGGCCCATCTCCAACCCTTACCCTACCCCATACCCACTGCCCCATGGCCCATCTCCAACCCTTACCCTACACCATACCCACTGCCCCATGGCCCATCTCCAACCCTTACCCTACACCATACCCACTGCCCCATGGCCCATCTCCGACCCTTACCCTACACCATACCCACTGCCCCATGGCCCATCTCCAACCCTTACCCTACACCATACCCACTGCCCCATGGCCCATCTCCAACCCTTACCCTACACCATACCCACTGCCCCATGGCCCATCTCCAACCCTTACCCTACCCCATACCCACTGCCCCACGGCCCATCTCCAACCCTTACCCTACACCATACCCACTGCCCCATGGCCCTGCTCCAACCCTTACCCTACCCCATACCCACTGCCCCACGTCCCCTCTTACCTGATCTTGCGCTCCAGGTGCTGGTGCACCGAGGGCTCGAGGATGGGCTCCTGCTCCGAGAGCGCCCGCGGCCGCGCCGGTGAGCCCAGGGCTGCCTGCGGTGATGGGCACCAGGGAGCTGAGCCCAAGGGGGGGGGACCCAACAGAGCACCCAGCAGGATCCCCCACCAGCACCCACCAGCAACCCCCAGCACCCACCAGGACCCCCTCAGCACCCCTTAGGACACCCCCAGCACCCCACAGCAACCCCCAGCACCCCCAAGACCCTGCAGCACCAGCAGGACACCCCAGGACTCTGCAGAACCCCCAGGATCCCCCAAGCACCACCCAGCACCTCCAGGACCACCCCAACACCCCCCAGGACCACGCACCCCCTCCAGTACCCACCATGACCCCACATTTCCCCCATGACCCCATACCCACCCAGCAGCCCCTATGAGCCTGAACCCCTCCATGACCCCACACACCCTCCAGCACCCCCATGACCCCACACCCCCCCCAGACCCCCATGACTCTGACCCCCCCAACACTCCCCATGACCCCATACCCCCCAGCTCACCTGCAGCACCCCTAGCACCCCCCTATGAACCCACACTCCCCCCAGCACCCCCATGACCCCACACCCCCATTAACCCCAAACCCCCCCAGACCACCCATGACTCTGACCCCCCCCAGCACCCCATGACCCCACACCCCCCATGACCCCAACCCTCCCCAGACCCCCCATGACGCTGAGCCCCCAGCACTCCCCATGACCCCACACCCGCCAGCACCCCCCCAGCACCCCTAGCACCCTCCTATAACCCCGCACCCTCCCAGCACTCCCAGCACCCCCAGCGCCCCCATGACCCTGAATGCCCCCAGTACCCCCATGACCCCGCCCCCCATGACCCCCACATGACCTCGCCCCATGACCCCGCCCCCATGACCCCGCCCCCCCATGACCCCGCCCCCCCGCACGCACCGCGGGGCCCGTGAGGCGCTGCCCCTCCCGCAGCACGTGCAGGAAGCGGCGCAGGTCCCGCAGGCGGCTCCGCAGGGACGCGCGGTTCCGGGCGCCCTCGCGCAGCTCCCGCGCCAGCTGCTCCGCCTCCTCCTGCAGCCCCAGCGCCTCCCGCGCCAGCGGCGCCCGCGGGGAGCCCCGCACCGGGCCCGGCTCCCGCCCTGCACCGCGCAGCTCCTGGAGCAGGAACGCTGCGGGACCGGAGGGGCTGAGGGAGCGGGACCGGGGGCGGCCCCATCCCTGGCAGTGCTCAAGGACACAGGGGCTTGGAGCAAGCTGCTCCAGTGGAAGGGGTTGGGGTTGGAGCTGGAGGAGCTTTCAGCTCCCTGCATCCCAACCCATCCCATGTCCCTATGGGGTTAGATGGTGTTTGGGGCACCCTCCCCCCCATGCAGCATCCCCATCACTCACTGAAGGTCTTCTCCATCTCCTCGCAGCGCCGCACCTCGCCCACGAAGCGGCGCTGGAAGGGGCTCACATGGGGGTTCAGCTGGGGGGACACGGTCACAGCACGGCCCCAAGGGGACACAGAGGGGCTGATGGCACCAGCACCCCTGGCCCAGCGCAGTACATCTGCACCCCAGGGCACCCAAGCATAGCCCCTCGCACACAGGGCACCCCAAAGTATAGACCCCAGTGCCCCTGCATCCACAGCATCCAAACCACCCCAACCAACCCCACTGCATCCAGAGCACCCCAAACCACCCCAACCACCCCACTGCACCCAGAGCATCCCAAACCACCCCAACCAACCCCACTGCACCCAGGGCACCCCAAACCACCCCAACCACCCCACTGCACCCAGAGCATCCCAAACCGTGTACCCCTATGCCTCTGCATCCACGGCATCCAAACCACCCCAACCAACCCCACTGCACCCAGAGCATCCCAAACCACCCCAACCAACCCCACTGCACCCATGGCACCATAAACCCCCCCCTTGCCGCACTCACATCCCTGAACTCGAGCAGCCCCCGCTCTCCCAGCTCGCTGATGCAGCTGTAGGCCGAGGCGGACTGGAGGAAGAGCTGGGCCAGGCAAACCTCCTCGCTGCGGAACAGGGACCCCATCGCAGGCCCACACCCGGCCGCGGGGCTGCGCTGCGACCGGACACGGCTCCCGCCTGCGGGGGCAGCAGTGGGGTCAGTACTAAGGGGGGGGGTGCTGAGGGATGGAGATGGGTGAGGGTTGGGGTGTGAGGGGGGACGGCACAGCAGGGATGGAGATGGGGTGGGATGCAAATGGGGTATCAGCAGGGTTGGATGTTACCGGGGTACCGGCAGGGTTGGATGTTAACGGGGTACCGGCAGGGTTGGATGTTAACGGGGTACCGGCAGGGTTGGATGTTACCGGGGTACCGGCAGGGTTGGATGTTAACGGGGTACCGGCAGGGTTGGATGTTACCGGGGTACCGGCGGGGTTGGATGTTAACGGGGTACCGGCAGGGTTGGATGTTACCGGGGTACCGGCAGGGTTGGATGTTAACGGGGTACCGGCAGGGTCGGATGTTAACGGGGTACCGGCAGGGTTGGATGTTACCGGGGTACCGGCAGGGTTGGATGTTACCGGGGTACCGGCAGGGTTGGATGTTACCGGGGTACCGGCGGGGTTGGATGTTAACGGGGTACCGGCAGGGTTGGATGTTACCGGGGTACCGGCAGGGTTGGATGTTACCGGGGTACCGGCAGGGTTCGATGTTACCGGGGTACCGGCAGGGTTGGATGTTACCGGGGTACCGGCAGGGTTGGATGTTACCGGGGTACCGGCAGGGTTGGATGTTACCGGGGTACGGGCAGGGTTGGATGTTACCGGGGTACCGGCAGGGTTGGATGTTATCGGGGTACCGGCAGGGTCGGATGTTACCGGGGTACCGGCAGGGTTGGATGTTACCGGGGTACGGGGAGGGTTGGATGTTACCGGGGTACCGGCAGGGTTGGATGTTACCGGGGTACCGGCAGGGTTGGATGTTACCGGGGTACGGGGAGGGTTGGATGTTAACGGGGTACCGGCAGGGTTGGATGTTACCGGGGTACCGGCAGGGTCGGATGTTACCGGGGTACCGGCAGGGTTGGATGTTACCGGGGTACGGGGAGGGTTGGATGTTACCGGGGTACCGGCAGGGTTCGATGTTACCGGGGTACCGGCAGGGTTGGATGTTACCGGGGTACCGGCAGCGTTGGATGTTACCGGGGTACGGGGAGGGTTGGATGTTACCGGGGTACCGGCAGGGTTGGATGTTACCGGGGTACCGGCAGGGTTGGATGTTACCGGGGTACCGGGAGGGTTGGATGTTACCGGGGTACGGGGAGGGTTGGATGTTACCGGGGTACCGGCAGGGTTGGATGTTACCAGGGTACGGGGAGGGTTGGATGTTACCGGGGTACCGGCAGGGTTGGATGTTAACGGGGTACTGGCAGGGTTGGATGTTACCGGGGTACCGGCAGGGTTGGATGTTAACGGGGTACCGGCACGGTTGGATGTTACCAGGGTACCGGCAGGGTTGGATGTTACCGGGGTAGCGGGAGGGTTGGATGTTACCAGGGTACCGGCAGGGTTGGATGTTACCGGGGTACCAGCAGGGTTCGATGTTACCGGGGTACCGGCAGGGTTGGATGTTAACGGGGTACCAGCAGGGTCGGATGTTACCGGGGTACCGGCAGGGTTCGATGTTAACGGGGTACCGGCAGGGTTCGATGTTACCGGGGTACCGGCAGGGTCGGATGTTACCGGGGTACCGGCAGGGTTGGATGTTAACGGGGTACGGGGAGGGTTCGATGTTACCGGGGTATCGGCAGGGTTCGACGTTAAGCGGGTACCGCAGGGGCTGGGATCGCAGAGCGGAGCCGTCCGGTCGCGGGTCCCTCGGGAAGCGCTGGGACACGCGAGGCTCCGCATTGCAAAACCCTCCCCATCCCCGTCCCCCCCCCGGCCCCACTGAGTCACGGTCACGGGGACCGGACCCCCCCTTCCCTTCCCCTCCCCTTCCCCTTCCCTCCGCCCCCCGACGGGACCCGGGACCCCCCCGCCCCTGCCCCGGCGCGGAGCCGCCCGCCCGCCCCTACCCGGCAGCGCGGGGCCGCAGCGGGCTCCGCACTTCCTCTTCCCCAGGAAGGGCCCGGCCGTGGGGAGGGACCGGACCCGGAGGTGGGGGAGCCCCCCCCTAAGAACGGGGCCGTCCGGGGGCACGGGAGGAGGAACCCGGCCCCGCTGCTCAGCGGGACCCCCCCCCGGGGCAGGAGGTTGGGAACAGGGCCGGGTGCAGGCAGGGGCGTCCCCTCCCACTGAGCCCGCCCCGAGCCTCTTTACCCCGCACCTCTTCCTCCCCTCATCCCTAAACCCCGGCCAGGAGGGAACCCAGAACCGGCCGGGGTTAAAGGGCCCCAAGCTCATCAGGGGCACCCCTAACCCATGGCCCCAAGAGCCACATCCACACATCCTCAGAGCACCCCCAGGGCCGGTGCCTGCAGCCCTGCCCTGGGCAGCCTGTTCCAATGCCTGAGCACCCTCTGGGGCAGGAATTGTTCCTCAGCTCCATCTAACCCTGCCCTGGTGCAGCTTGAGGCCGGTTCCTCTTGTCCCATCCCTTGTTCCTTGGGAGCAGAGCCCAGCCCCTCCTGGCTCCATCCTCCTGTCAGGCAGTTGGAGGCAGCCATCAGGTCCCCCCTGAGCCTTCTCTTCTCCATCTGAACCCCCCAGCTCCCTCAGCCCTTCCCCATCACCCTTGGGCTCCAGGCCCTCCTCCAGCAGTGATGCCCAGGACCCCTGGGAGGTTCCCCCCATTCCCTGCTCCAGCGCTGGGAATGAACAGAGGAAACCAGAGCTCCAGGTTAGGAAGGGGCTGGTGGCCCCAGTGCTGGGGGGGGGTGACGGTGGCAGATCCCCCCCCAGACCCTTTATTGGGGAGCAGGGAGGCCTGGGTGTCACCGGTACAGGTAATCAGCCTGGATGTTGGCAGCGATCTCGGCCTCCCACTTGTCGCCGTTGTTGAGCAGCTTCTCCTTGTTGTAGAGTAGCTCCTCGTGGGTCTCCGTGGAGAACTCGAAGTTGGGACCCTGCCAGGGTGGGAGAGCACGGAATGGGTTGGGATGAAGGGAGCTGAAAGCTCCCCCAGCTCCAACCCCAACCCCTTCCACTGGAGCAGCTTGCTCCAAGCCCCTGTGTCCTTGAGCACTGCCAGGGATGGGGCAGCCACAGCTTCTCTGGGCACCCTGTGCCAGCGCCTCAGCACCCTCACAGGGAAGAGCTTCTGCCTAAGAGCTCAGCTCAGTCTCCCCTCGGGCAGGTTCAAGCCATTCCCCTTGTCCCGGCCCTACAGGCCCTTGTCCCAAGCCCCTCTCCACGCTCCCTGCAGCCCCTTTAGGCACTGGAGCTGCTCTAAGGAGATGCTGGCTCTATGCCCCCCCACAGGGTTGTGGTTGCCCCATCCTCACCTCCACGATGGCATCCACAGGACAGGCCTCCTGGCAGAACCCGCAGTAGATGCACTTGGTCATGTCAATGTCATAGCGGGTGGTGCGGCGGCTGCCGTCAGCGCGGGGCTCGGCCTCGATGGTGATGGCCTGTGGTGGATGAGGGGGGGCCGGTGTCACCCTCAATGGGGGCACCCAGCGCCCCACGGGGAGGAGGAGGAAGAGGGGGAAGGCTGGACCTGTGCCGGGCAGATGGCCTCGCAGAGCTTGCAGGCGATGCACCTCTCCTCCCCAGAGGGGTAACGGCGCAGAGCGTGCTCCCCCCGGAAGCGGGGGCTCAGGGGACCCTTCTCAAAGGGGTAGTTGATGGTGGCTGGCTCCCGGAACAGGTAACTCAGAGTCATGGAGAGGCCTGGGAGAGGAGGAGATGGGTTATGGTGTGCATGGTGGGGGCTGGTGCCCCATGGAGAGAGCAGGGATGCACAGAGCATCATGGAAACATCCCTCAAGCAGCATCTGTTCAGCCTGGAGAAGAGGAGGCTCCTGAAGGGGAGACCTGAGAGCAGCTCCAGTGCCTAAAGGGGCTGCAGGGAACCTGGAGAGGGGCTTGGGACAAGGGCCTGTAGGGACAGGCCAAGGGGAATGGCTTGAACCTGCCCGAGGGGAGACTGAGCTGAGCTCTTAGGCAGAAGCTCTTCCCTGTGAGGGTGCTGAGGCGCTGGCACAGGGTGCCCAGAGAAGCTGTGGCTGCCCCATCCCTGGCAGTGCTCAAGGACACAGGGGCTTGGAGCAAGCTGCTCCAGTGGAAGGGGTTGGAGTTGGAGCTGGAGGAGCCTTCAGCTGCCTTCCAACCCAAACCTTTCCATGACTATGATTCCATTGGGCATCCACCTGGACCACCTGTATGGTCCCTTTCAGAGCACTTTCCTGGGAGGCTTGGCTATGGCCAGCTCTCACTGTTAGTGTAGGTCAGCTGCATACGTGCTGCAGACACAACGTCCATCACCAGCTGCCCTCAAAGGGGAGATGGAAGCTTAGTTTCCATAGGATCATTGCCTCCACGCAGCCTTCTCTTCTCCAGGCTGAACAGCCCCAGTGCCCTCAGGCTGGCTCCATACAAGAGCATCCTCGTGGCCTCTGACCTCACTCCAACAGCTCCACATCCTTGTGCTCTGCCCCAGTGCCAGTCCTTATCCCCAACTGAACCTCCTCTGTTTCACTCTGAACCCATCACCCTTGTCCCATCGCTCCAGTCCCTATGAAGAGCCCTCCCCAGCATCCCTGCATCCCCTTCACACACTGAAGCTGCTCTGAGCTCCCCACACAGCCCCAGTGCCCCCAGCCTGGCTCCATCCGGAGCTGCTCCAGCCCCGCAGCATCCTCGGGGCCTCCTCTGGACCCGCTCCCCACTGAGGAGGCCCCGAGGGCTCTGTTCCTTGCGGAGGCAGCTCCAGGGCTCACCTCGGATGAGCTCGGTCCAGAGCAGGGTCTGTGCCGCGCGGTCGGTGATGGAGCGCATGTCCATGGCCGGCTCCTGCACGTTGACGTACTCTGGGGGGAGAAGGGAGCTGGGCCCACCCCATGGAGGGGCTGCTGTGGGGCAGGGATGGGGCAGCCTGTCCTTTACTCACTGTAGCAGCCCCTGCGGGGGGTGGTCCCGAGCAGGCGCAGGTAGCCCAGAGGGGCTGGAGGGCCTGGGGGGGGTGAAGGGAGAAGGGTCAAGGGGGTGTTGGTGGGGGACAAGGGGGTTGATGGGGGGGTGATAGGGGAGTAAAAGGGGGGCAATGGGGTCCCGGTGGGGGCTCACCTGGGTGGGCAGCCCGGGACACCAAGCGCAGCGCAGCCATATCCGGTCCTGCAGCCACAGAGGGGCCTGGCCTGGTGCTCACCACCGATTGGGACACCCCCCCCCCCAATTCCCATAAGATACCCGGGTATCCCCCCCCAAGAGACCCAGGGGGCTTGTTCCACCCCCCCACCCTCCCCATGACACCCAGGGGTTCTCTGCCCCCATAAGGGACCAAGATATTCACACACCCCCCATAGCACCCAGGGGTCCCAATACCCTCCCCTCAAGGGACCCATGGATCCTGCCCCCCATAGGGACTGGGGTACCCCACCACCCACCCCCAGGGGTCCTGGACCCCCAGCAAAGGACAGTGGGGTCCTAACCCCCCCCAGACAACCCAGGGGTCTTCTCCCCATACAAAACAATGAGGTACCCCCCCCCCAGGGGTCCCAATACCCCCCCATAACAGACCCAGGGGTCCTGCCCCCCCCAATAAGAGACTCAGGGCCCTGTCACCCCCCCACACCCTCCCAACAGACCCAAGGATCCCAACACCCACCCCAAAGGAACCCTGGGGTGGGGGCCCCCCCGCCATGGGTCCTGACCCCCTCCATGTTCCATAAAAGACCCGGATGTCCTTCCCCCCCCCCGTACCCCTTTAATGCCCCCATTCAGCCTCCCCTGCCCCACAGCACCCCAAGGCCCAACTGCCACCCCCCTTATGGGACCAGGCGCATGCCCCCGGGGGGGCCCATCCAGCCCCTGCTCTAAGCGGGTTCCGGGGCCCTCCATAGGCCCTCATAGACCTCCATGGCCCTCCATAGACCCTCACAGACCACCATAGCCCTCCATAGACCCTCATAGACCTCCATGGCCCTCCATAGACCCTCATAGACCTCCATAAACCTCCATAAACCTCCACGGACACCGGGGGGGCCCCATAAGGGCCTGGGCCCCCCCTCCGCTCACCTCCCGCAAGGACCCGGCCGTCCTGACCCCGGCCGCCCCCGGGCCGCACTGCGCAGGCGCGAAGCGGCGGCGAAGGACATCGGGCGGGGCCTCAGCGGGAAGGGCGGAGCTAAGCTCGCTTCCCATTGGCTGAGTCCCGCCGCGCAAAGGAAGGGGTAGGATGGAGGGAGCCGTGGATTGGCCTGTGAGGCGGCGAAGCTGGGCGGTGATTGGCTAGAGGGTGAGGAGAGGCGGGGCTAAGCCTTAGGCCGGTGTTGATGGCGGCTGCGGTCGCGGTGGGTGCGTGGGTCGCGGGTTCGAGACCGGGCACCGGCGGTCCGGGGGCGGCACCGGAGGAGGGCACCGAGCGCGGCCCCGCTGCAGGCGGGTCGGAGGCACCGGAATCCCCGGGACCGGCCCTAGGATGACAGCGGGGCCATGGGCAGGGTCCCGAGCGGTGCGGTACCGGTGCCCCCAGTGCAAGGACCCGGAGGTGATGGAGAGAGCGCAGGGGAGCCCCGAGGATGCTGCGGGGCTGGAGGAGCTCCGGATGGAGCCAGGCTGGGGGCACTGGGGCTGCGTGGGGAGCTCAGAGCAGCTTCAGTGTGTGAAGGGGATGCAGGGATGCTGGGGAGGGCTCTTTATAGGGACTGGAGCGATGGGACAAGGGGTGATGGGTTCAGAGTGAAACAGGGGGGATCCAGGTTGGATGTAAGGAACGAATTCGTCACTATGAGGGACATAGGAAGGGGCTTGGAGCAAGCTGCTCCAGTGGAAGGGGTTGGAGCTGGAGGAGCTTTAAGGTCCCTTCATCCCAGCCCATTCCATGGTTCCATGATCCCAGCATCAGCCCAGGCACCAGGCTCAGACCGGCTCCAATAACAGACCCATCACTGGGTGATGCTCAGCAGCACTTACCCCTGCTCGAGGAGGTTCCAGCCTCTCCTGCTCTGCCAGGGAGCTGGGAGCAGAGACAGGAACCTGCCCCGAGCTATCCCAAGGGATATT